GCCAGCTTGCAGCTTGTAGTTGCCCGCAGGCATCTTACGTTAGCAAGATATGTTTGGTGATAATTAATGCAGCTAGCGAATTACTTACATAAAAACCTATTAGTTGGGGGGCGCAATAAGTTATCGTAGATAACTATATCGAAGAGAACTCTATCGACAGTCTATCGCTCATCCTGCTAGTCCCCGATGTTGAGGGTTGAATTTCGGACCGTATTTTAAACCACTGAAATTGTGGCAGCGTATTTGAAACAGCGAAAATAACGGGACTGAATATTGTAAAGCAGAAATAAGAGGACTGAATGTTACTGCTTGAATAAAACACATTATTATATCATATTTTCAACTGAATTTGTTCTTTTGAAATTTATTTTGAGGCGAAATTAAATTAACTGAATTCATGTGGTTTTATTATAAACATGCACTTTAAAATACGTATGTTTTGGAACTTAATTTTGGATTATTCGATAAGTGTAATTCAACGTGTTTTTTTCATCAACGACTTTTGTCATTAATTTACTTCCACACCCCTCTTGGTCGTCAACTACGAGTGACGTCACTCCCCATACAATCACGCCCCACAGTATAGACCCACCCCTGACCCTTGTAAGACATGGGAAATGCAATTGCAAATAGACTTTGCTTTTTCATTTGAAATGTGGCAGTGTTCGTTCGCGAAAGCGAAAAAGCAAACGGTAATGCAAAATTTGCAGTTGCATTTGGATTATGTCACACTTTATGCGTCCACATATGGAAAACGCAATTGCAAATGCAATTTGCAATTCCTTTTGAAAAATGTCCGGGATTTCCCTTGTAAGACATGGGAAATGCAATTGCAAATGGACTTTGCTTTTTCATTTGAAATGTGGCAGTCAGTGTTCGTTCGCAAAAGCGAAAAAGCAAACAGTAATGCAAAATTTGCAATTGCATTTGAATTATGTCACACTTTATGCGTCCACATATGGAAAACGCAATTGCAAATGCAATTCCTTTTGAAAAATGTCCAGGATTTCCCTCCATAATATGCAAGCTGACATCTTTATAAGTTTAATTACTTCGCATTGTCCTTCCAAGGCCGGTGGTCTGTCGAGTTGAGCTACTTTGTCGAAGTAAACTATGGTAGTGCTAATTGATAGCTCTAACAATTGCTTACCTCGACAAAGTAGCTCAAGATAAGCTTTGTAACTAGCAAGATAAGCTAAGTTCTCTATTTAAACCAGGCTTATTTGGTGAGGTAAAATCGATCATGGTCATTTTCCAAGGAGATGAAATTCCTGTTTTCATTTCTCATTTTATCATTGAATTGTGCCTTTCTGAAATTAATTCGCCACTTAGCCTGTGTGGTTTACTATTAGGCTAATGTTAATGCATAAGAAGGTCTAACGTTATGCCCTGAAAAAACATTACTATAAGTGAAACCTATGGGGCAACGTAAAAAAAAACTAGCTAGCAAATAATAAGCCCTATTTGAATTTTAGTGGTATTGATTCTGCATTCCACAATTTCATATTTATGGACATTTTTAGAAGCTTCATCTGATAGCCCAGATACTGTTTTGTTAAACATAGATTAGATTTTATTCATAGACACACTATGAGGAAAAGGATAGATGGAGACATCAGACACTTTTTTGGTGGTAAAAGAAGAATAAGTAGGAAATATTAGTGTTAAGAGCTACAGAACATTACACTAAAAGTATAGGTGCAGTTTTGCAAACTGTTAATGTGTATGAAGGAAAGTGGTGGTCAGCAGAAAGCAGGAGAGGCACAGGAGCAGGCAGCAGTGAGATGGCAGGATGAGGACAGTGTGCAGGACAGCGAGCAGGGAGATGGCAGGATGAGGACAGTGAGCAGGCAGCAGGAAGATGGCAGGATGAGGACAGTGAGCAGGAAG